CCCCCTTAATTTCTTTTTTTTAAAAAAAAATTTATTTTTTTTAACCCCTTTTTAAAACAACCAAACAAATTTTTAAATTTTCCCCTCTTTTTTTTATCCCCAAAACCAAAAAAAAATTATTTTTCCCTTTTTTTTTTAAAAAATTTTACACCCCCCCCCCCTTTTATAAATAAAAAAAAAAAAATTTTTTTCCCCCCCCTTTTTCCCCCTTTCCCCCATTTCCTTCTTCCCCTTTTTTTTTTTTCCCCAAACCCCCAATTCAAATTTTCAAAATTTTTTTTGCTTTTTTTTCCCCCCCCCCCCCCCCCCCCCCCCCGCTCGGTCGAACTTAATGACTGGGTGATAGGGTAGTCTGTGTGCCCGCCGGCATCACCGACATTATTCCGGGCACCGCACTATTCAACCTGCACTATATCGGTACCTGTGGCTCAATGGTTGTAGTTGTACGAAAAAATACACTGAAGAAGTGTAGTTCTCTACTTACACCGAAAAGTGTAGTACGTCTCACCACCAAAATGGGGGGACTGTCGCCACAATAAAAAGGACGAAAACACGCACACACGTTCCATTAAAAAACAAAAATGAAACAACTGGCAACATGGCGACCCCCTCTCCTGACAGGTTGCTTCATACAGTATTTAGATGGAGAAGGGAACGACCGGGGGGTTCGTGGCATACTACAATATACCGTCGGGACTACTGTAGGCTGACTGCCATGATCCCTTCTCGTGGACGGTGTTTAGGCCTCTCGACTATTTTGATGCACCCACCACAACCACCACGACACCATGTCCAAATATGGAATCCCTTCAGTGCTCGTAGCATTCTATGCATCTGCACAACAAAATGGACATGAGTGATGATTTGTGCATCATGTCATGCTTAGGATGGTCGCCTCCCCTCCTGGAACAACAAAGCCCGGTCATGCCATCACCATTTCCGTGCACTCCTTTTTTGGTCTTGTCCATTTACCACACCGGGCAAATCGATCGCCGCGGCGGTCTAAGTGCTTTCCTCGCAGACCTAAAATACCATAGCAGGTTGGAGTTCGATTCTCTCTCTGGAGTGAACGTGAGTTATGCATATGAGTTTTCGCACTTCGCGCTGGGAAACGACCAATTCGTGTCAGTGCCGGTGCTCACTTTTGAAATCCCCGGCGAGCTGTTTGGAGTTCTACGGTAGTATTATTTACCCACGTTTTGGACTGAGGAGGTAGATGGCCTTTCCCTTCTGGGAGACGATACCGATGAGATATGATACAGTGACTAGGTGTTACCCTACTGGGCTAAGGAGGAAGTTCCAAATCCCCTCCCCGACTTTTCGACTTGCGAAAAATATACGAAAGCTTAAGCTTCGGTTGCCGGAAGGGGGTGACACATATTGAGGCAGACCATTTATGTAAAGATGCTCCGACCCTAAACAATTTTTGATCGATTTTCTGGGAAAAACGTTCTGCGGAATAGGACATTAAAGATTCGTCATTAATATTGACAGTGTACATGTGCAGATTGAACAACAACGTAGCCGGGGGGAACGCTGATGTGTGCCTTGCAACCACTGCAGAATGTTAGCGTAATTCAGCGTAATTCAGCGAAAGGTGTTGAGTCGTGCTTGACGTCACAACCGTCACGGGTGCGCCACGGTTGCCTCCAGAGCTTCAATTTCACGTCACGTGCATGCTTCCTTCTATTCCTCAACCCGTCCCAATCGAAACGTCGGGTGCTGTTTTGTGCAGATGCGAAGGGAGGCGAGCGATCCCTACCACATGCGCTACTCGGACCTCTACCCCCGCTGCACAAGGGAAGGTGAGTCTTGAGAGCCTACACCCAGATACTCATCCCACGGAGCCCCCCCCCCCCCCACGCAGGAGAGCGTTGGTCCCCATACTAAGGGCATGTCGAGATCCACGCGCACGTCGCGTGTGCACTCACCATGTATGTAGTGTTTATTGACGTACCGAGTGTCTGTTAACGTACCCCCGAAGGGCCGGCAAGAATTTGGCAGACAAAAAGACACGCGGGTCATCGGTGGGTTTTTGCCGTGGCGGTAGGCGAGACGGTAGGTGCGGTTGTGCTGCTGCGTGGCGGACAATTTTCTGGGTAGAGACGTCGCGCGGTGTGTACATATGATCAAGGTTCACACGAAATTTCCCCGCCCGCGGTGGAGCAACTCCCTGCACGGGCGGTAGGCCCGGTGGCATGCCTCGCCCGCACTCCATGTACCATGCAAGGTGAACACGAGCTTGCTCGTTGAAAAGAGCAAACTCTCCAATACGCATATTGGAGTATTGTACATACCCCCCCGACAGGTGTACGTACTTCCGTTACAGATGTAAGCATCTCATTCTCAGCTCTCTCTTGCCCGTTTTCCGCCCCGCGATCTGCAGACCACGTGAGGAAGAAGAACTGCAGCAACAACCCGCGCTGCCTGTACGGGCTGGGAGAGGGGAAGGAGGTGAAAACGTCCGCTCTGGGTTGGTTTCTGACTTCACTTCGTTTTTCTTGCCTCTTCGTACAGCAGTAGACGCACAACTGTTGTGTTGTGTGTACGCTTTGCTTGCGCTTTTCTCATCTACCTTTCCCGTGCTTTCTCTGGACGAGCAAGCTTTTTTTTTTTCTGGAGACAGGTACAAGAGCATCGCCATCATCTCGCATCGGAACAACTTTGGTCCCTGTTCGTTTTCACCTACTCCCTAATCGAGCATTCATCTCTCGAGCTTAGGGTAACTTGAGCACATGACATGACAGCAGTAGTACACACCGCTGAGCTTTCCGGCACCGTAGGGCTGGTGTAGGCAATCAAACCGTCTTAGCTCCACAGCAGTCCCCAGCCAGGCAGGCTTTGCCCGCTCTGCAGCACACAAGGTCCCGGTAGTACATTTACCCCTCTTGCTCTACAAGCCGAGCAGTGTTTGCAGCCTCAGAACGACCGGCCCCTCTCGGGGAGGCTATGGCCAGCAGCACCACACCGCCTCTGCGACGATGACATCTCCACACGCGTGTGCACGTCTATGCATGTACCGTAACCCAGGGCATCTGGAGCAGAAAGCCGGCCCTCATCGCAGCACTGGGGGAAGACATGTCGGGAATGGTCAAAGAGCTGCCTTCCGAGAGCACGCGGGCTGCAACAGCAGCAGCAGGCGGGAGCTCCGCGGGTCCCGGGGATGCTGTAGTACCGTTCCCGCCCCCCCGCATGCAACGCCAGCCGACGGGCCTCAAAAACCTGGGCGCGACTTGCTACCTCAACTCACAGCTACAGGCCCTGTTCGCCAACAAGGCCTTTCGGGATGGCGTTTTCTCCTGGAGGCCCTCGGTGCCGGCAGCAGGTGGGTGGTCTGCCTCTCTCTCCTCTCTTTTGTTGTTGTCTCTAGTCATGTCCCTTTTGCGGTCTCGCGTCGTTTTAGTAGGGCTCCTTTCGATTGTTGGTTGACCGCATTCTCTTCTTGGAGCGCCCTTGCACCAGGTGTTATTATAGGTTAGACTTGTCGAGCGAACGCAGACGGCTGTATCTCGCAGCGTACCCAGAGTCCCTGCTTTCGGTCCGTGTTTTTTCCAACGCGCGGAACGGCTCATCTGCCGGAGCCCCCCCTCCCAAACCGTTCTGATTTTGGTTTGTTTTGGGCAGCAGCGAGTTTTTTTGTGTACTTTTCGCGCCTGAAGGATGGAGAGCGGGTGCCTGATGTTGGAGAAGAAGGCCACATTTTGAGACCGTCTATCCATGTCTCGAGTAGGATACTGATGTAGGATAGCAGTAGCTTTCGGAGGGAGGGGGGGGCGTACTCTTATGTTTTGCATGCCTTAGCGGTTAGACCATTGACCACGCGCCCTCGAGAGGACGGAGCATTGTTCCCACAGGACCGATCACCGATGGCCAATCGTTCCTTCCTACTGTGCCAAAGGTTGCTCAAAAATGTCTTCCCTAGTCTGTCTATCCTAGCGATATCCCTTCCCGCCTTTTCAAACCACTTCCTACTCCCCATTACAGCTACCGTCCTCTCCTCTCTATTCCATGCCTCAAACATCTCCCTGTACGTCCCTTGTATTTTTCCCAGCTCAGTCATGTACACTTCCCTCTTCTCTTCGTACCACGGACATTCCGCGGCTACATGAACACGGTCTTCGCATTCGAAGCCGCAATCACATTTGAACTTGTCGTCTTCGTCGTCTATCGTCCTATATTTTGGTCGACGTTCGCGAAGGCGTATGGTCCCAGTCCTGAATTTGACCTTAAGCTTGGTCCCTGCATCCATTGGTCCATGTAGGTAATCCTTGAACCCTTTTCCTTCTTTCAACATTCCGTGCACTTCTAGACCCTCCTTATCCTCGGTTTCTTTCTTTAGATTCTGTTTTTCTCTCTCGGCACAAGCAACAGATATCTTCTCCTTGAACCCCTGTAGACCCTCCGTTTCCAGCGTTTCATCGTCGTCGATGTCTAACCCCTTCCATACGTCCTCTACAACCTTGACCCATTCCGTGGGTTGTCTACCCCTCTTTTTGTTTGCCCACTCGGCAACCTCTCCTCTCCCATCCCGCACATGCGATACTGCCATGTCAGCTTCCTTGCGTCTCTTCCCGACCGTAGGATTGGATCCCCAATTCTGCCCTGACGGCTGCATTACTTGTGCGCTTGGAGCATCCTAGGATGGTTTTCGCTGCTTTCATCTGCGCCGCCTCGAGTTCTTTCACTACCTTCTTATTTCCTTCCCATACTTCTCCGGCGTACTCTAGCGGCGGTACGATTACGCTCTTCAAAACCGTCAATTTGATGCGTGTATCGAGGTGCCGGTTTCGAGTATTGGGTGCAGCTTCCCTGCTCGTGCTTTGCCCTTTTCCGCTACCTTGGACATGTGTGCATTCCACGAGCAGTCGTTTGCCATCTCTAGTCCCGAGGTATGTGTACTAGTCCACTACTGCAATCTCCTCGATCCCCCACTTCCATCTATGTTCTACCGGTTCCTCCCTGACCTTGTTACATACCATGATGGCACTTTTAACGTTGGCAGACAATCTCCACTTATCAGTAAACTTCTTCGCCGCGTCAATTTGTAGTTGCAGCCCCTCAGGGGTGTCCGACATACCAACAAAATCATCCGCAAACAGCATTCCTGACACCGAAGTATCCGTGTCCCCTACGTTTACTCCCTTCCGGACTGCCTCTACGACTTCCAACAGATGATTGATGAACACCTGGAACAATGTTGGGGACAGCGTGCAACCTTGTGGGACCCCCTGCTCAATGTCGAAGAACTTAGACAGTTCTCCGTCTAGCATGACCGCGCTTTTCGTACGCTCTGTCATCTTCTTCAGCACTCTCCACATTTTCGCCTTGATCCCGTACTTGGACAATTGTTTCCACAGCCCATTTCTCCATACGGTATCGTATGCCTTTTTCACGTCCAGGAAGAAGCAGCACGTCGGCCTTCCCGCCCTCTTTCTACCTTGGATGATTCTCTCTACCGTGAATGCGTGGTCTACGCACCCCCTCTTCTGTCGGAAACCTGCCTGGCCCTCACTAATGCTACGTTCCTTCTCCAATACTCCCACTATCCTATCGTTCAGCAGCTTACAAAACACTTTTCCTACTGTCTTCAACAGTGATACCCCTGTAGTTTCCTGGGAGTCTTGTCTCCTTTCTCAAACAGTTCACAACCACTACTTCCCTCCATCTACTTGGCGCATACTCGTTTTTCCATTTTTTCCACACCCAGTTGTACAACAGTACCATCAGCTGGATCATTCACTTACCCCCAAACTTCATGAACTCGTTGACTATCCCATCCGCCCCTGCTGCTTTGTGGCACTGCAGCTTGTTCACACACGTCTCAACCTCGTCCTCAGTGAACTCCTTTTCTAGTTCTACGTTCCCAACGTCTGCCTTCGAAATCTCTTCTTCTTTCTGGGCCCATGCGTCCACCTCGTTCTTAAACACTTCACTACTTCGTCCCAAATGGACTTTTTCTTCTTTTTCACTAGTCCTTTCCCCCGTTTCCTCTTGGCCCTGTACTTTTCCCAACTCTCCTCAGACTCCTCACTCAGGTACTGCTTGAAGACTTCTCTACGTTCCCCTATTTCTTCTTTCAGGTCGTCATCCCACCACTTAACCGATACCCCACATCGTACCACCTTCTTTCCCACTACTCTCTCTGCCGTTGTGTTCACTATGGACTCCCATCCTTCAATCACCCTGTCCCCTGCTGCGTGTACGTCTACCTACCCGTCTCGACACTTCTCAGCAGTTTCCTGAAGGGTTCTACACTACCAGCCAATCCCTTCTGGAATTCATCCCGTGCCCCCTCGTCTCCCAAACGCTCTACTTTCCACCGGAACACTTTCCTCTGTTTCTTACTCTCCGTCTTTCTAGATCGGTCGATGTTTGCCCATATGAGGAAGTGGTCGGTCGAACCTATATCTATCGCACTTGCGTGCAGCTCTGGGATCTGTGTGCTCCCCCTACATGTATCTACCAGGATGTAGTCGAGGATCGAGTATTCAATGCAAACTGCCCTTTGCCTGGTGAACTCCGGCTTCTCGCATTCCCTCCTACCGTTCAACACCATCAGCTCGTTGCATCCCAAGAATTCAAGCATCCTCACTCCGTTGTGATTCACTTTGTCTTCTCCGTGCTGCCCGATCGCCTGTCCTCTACTGGAAGCTTTCCCTACTCCGGAGTTGAAATCGCCCACCATGGCAACTTCTCCCTTCCTACTGAACCTCTGGACATCTTCCCCAATTTGTCCAAAGTTCTCCTGCTGCGCCTTGGTTGCGACTTTTTTCGACGACGGTGGGACGAATACGTTCCCCAGAAACACATCTTTCTCACCCCGCTCCCCAGGTATCTTAAGCCATAGGCTTTCCTCGAACTCCGTTTTCACTGCTACTCCCACCACGACAAACAAGTGTTTCTTGACCAGGAATCCGACCCCCCCCCTCCCCCCTCTTCTTCGTGTCTAACCCCTTTCTTGCCTTGCCTACCCACCGGTATATTCCTAGTTTGCTTGCCACGTCCCCATCCTTCAGTTCCCTCGTCTCTTGGATCCCCACTACATCTAGATCGCTTTGGTCTACTTAGTCCACTATTTCCAACCGCTTGCGCTCGCTCCTTGCGAACCCGCACACGTTCCACGACCCCACTCTCAGCTTCTGCTTTTCCCTGTTGGAGGTTTTGCGCACTCTATCGTTCGCCTTCCGCTTCTTCTCGGCGTTCTTCTGACTTGCCTGCTCGCCTCCCCCGCCCGGTCCCTTCTTCGCCTCCATCGCCCTCGCCTCTTGTCGCCTTACCTTCTCTGTTTCTATCATGTTCGCGATGCAAACCCTCCATCCAAACTTCCTTACGTAGTTCGACAGCTTCTCGATGTCAACCCCCAAGCACTCTTGGCTGTCTCCCTTGGCCAATCTCACCCGGAAATGTTCATGCTCTCTGCCTACTTCTCCCCTTGCTAGGCAGTGCAGTCCCTCCCTGTCACAACAGTTCTTGAACTCTATCCTCGTCATGTCCTTTGGAATCCCAAACAGCAGCAGCTCCAACCTGTCTCCCTTCATCCTCGTCATGTCCTTTGGAATCCCAAACAGCAGCAGCTCCAACCTGTCTCCCTTCCGCGGTTTCTGCTTCCATCCTCTCGACTTCTTCACCATCCTCATGATCTCTACAGCAACTGGACCGTGGCCACTTTTTTTTCGTGTTTTTTCAGGAGGGTATACGGAACACTCGGCCTTCCCAATCCGAGTGCCCGGTGGGGGTTGTGGTTCCTTTCAGTTCTTTTGCCGGCTCACCGACGCTAAATAGTGCCTCCAACCTAGGCTCGTAGTCTAGATCCAAGTTCACACCTCCTGGCACAAGCACAAGTACCCCAGGCTTGTGCCGGGCGTTCTGCTTAGTAAACACCCAGACGTCCCCCGACCACCCAGTGTATCATCTCCGAAGTCCCGCGGTACAAGCTACTTTCCTCCTGGGAGGTCATTTTCACCACCATAAGTTCAGGGACGACTTGCAATAGCCTAAGATCCTACTCACACGCCGGGATGGAGCGTACACCAACGTCCAGCTTCTCATGTACGCTCCACCACGGGTTGCTACCCCACTTACCGCTCCCGAGTTTACCTATCTGCCGAAAGTTTGGCCAACAATTCCCCACTGCTTTGTACTCGCCTCTCTCCAATCGAAAACAATGCATTGTGCGTGCCGCACATCTAGCTCCGCAGTTTTTGCGTGGTTGGTCAGGTCGTTCAGCTGGCTCGACGTGAGTAATAAGCTGTTCGGGAGGGGGGGGGGGGGGTCTTCCGCGCTGCCTGCTGAATACAGCGATGCCCCGCCCAGTCTGTTTATAATACCCGACGGCATGGTCTTTGCGCTGCCCGATATGCGTGCGTATAATATTTTGTTGCACCTTTCTTGGACATACCTCATGAGAGAGCATTGCTATTGCTATTACGTTGCCAGGGGGAGAAGGGGGAAGCTCGGCAAGAGGAAGCGGCGCGAATGGCAAGAGCGACGCTGGTGCTGGTGCAGCTGCGGGTGCCGGCAGCAGCAATGGTGGTGGCGGTGAAGGCGATGCTACGTGGGTTTCCAATGGAGGAGGCGGAGGGGGAAGGGCGGCCGGGGAGGGTGTGGATTCAGTGGATTTGGAGGTGGCATCTTCGGACAATGCCATCATGAGGGTGAGAGTGAGAAGACGGAGAGAGATGATGTAGAGACGTTTTGGCCCAGTGCTATCGTGGGAGGTGACGTCACCCTGACGTGGCACTAGAATCCTGTGTCCTCTTTGTGATGGGTTTGGTTTGTTTTTGAGCGGCGTGATGGTGATGGGTTCTGAGAGCCTCTCAGGATGGCACCGCCGTTCATGTACAACATGTACATGTTACAACAACGCGTCAGCAATCAAAGTCAGGGTTTTCAGGGTGTTCATGATACAACATGTTACAACAACGCGTCGGCAATCAAGGTCAGGGTGTTCAGGGTGTTCATGATACAACATGTTACAACAACGCGTCGGCAATCAAGGTCAGGGTGTTCAGGGTGTTCATGATACAACATGTTACAACAACGCGTCAGCAATCAAGGTCAGGGTGACGTTTGTGGAACGTCATGTTTTGCCGCTGAGGCTGAACATTTCCTCAACTTTTCTTGCGTTACCGCCGGAATCCATCAGGCCCACCTCTTTGTGCGTTCCTCTTTAATGTTTCAAACTTGTACCTTATTTTGGGCATTAGTTTTCGTGTGACTTCGTGACTACAGAAGCCGTCCGTATCGACAGCATGGGCACGTGAAAGTGCTGAACAGAGATCAGGACGGTCTTTAATATGAAGACAACAGCACCAGCACCACCAGCAGGACCAACAACCACAGCAGTAGCAGCAGCGGCAGTATCAACAACAAGAACGCGTTGTCTGTTGATCAATGCTTCAGTTCGACCTTCAACCTCGCGTACACACGCGTGTACAGCAGTATGCGGAAATAGGAAGATGCTTTTCCTTGTGAGACGATCCAACTTTTTGGAGCAGCTTTTCTCGGCACACTTTGTGTGTGCTTTCTGTTTGTGCACCTCTCTCGCCGGGCTTCCTACGTTATACCGTACGCCGTGTTTGTCACTACAGTACATATTCCGTTTGGCCGTGATGGTGTGATGGTGTGATGTGATGGTGTGATGGTGGTGCCGGTGTTTCGGCTCGGACACACTGAAAAACCAAGTTGTTCCGTACTTCGAATAGTGCCAAGTGTCCAGTGGTACAATCTCTGGACACATACCGGCACTATACAGGGCCCGCTCCTGCTGTAGCGGGTTGCCCAACAGACTGCAGTTGTGCCGTAAACGCCGTACTCCTCACAATTACCCCCTCTTGGCCGTGATAATTCTCACTAACGAAAACTAACGAAGACTCACGAAGACTAACGAAGACTAACGAAGACGTGTTGGTCGTGGTGGTCACGGTTAGGCCGTATATTAACGAAGCGCTAAAAATCAATCACCAAAAAATCAAAATCGAAATCAAAATCGAGCGCTGGTTGGTCGAAATTCTCGTACCTCCTGACGACGCCCTTTGATTTTCTGGAAGTTCCTCTCTCTGGGAAGAAGTCCCCGAGGGACTTTTTTATCAAAATCAACAATCAAAGAGACAAGGAGTTCAAGACTTCGAAGGCTTGGAGCACCTGCCGCGAGGCCGCTGCAAAGCAAGTGTACGACACGACCTGCTGTACACTGCTCATAGAGGGGCTATCGGCACCCTACCACCGAGACCATGGCCATTATTTGTAGCCAGAAGACTCTGCTCGCCGGCAAACCAAAAACCGGGCCGGCTCGTTGGGTGCTCGAGGAGAAAATGCCGATCGTGACAAGCGGTGAACGGACTGACGATCGGAACAGGGCTCCGCGGCTTTTTCGGGCTATTCCGTGCGGGAGAGGGTAGTTGCAACCTTTTTTCTCCACACTGACGATACCCCAAGGCATCTAACCTTGTACGAGAAAGATGGTGGGCAGAGCTACCTCCCGTCGCGTGGCATTGCTAATGCTGTTGCTTCCTCCTTCGATGCGTTATCGCTGAAAAACTAAACTGTGAGCAGACATTCGGCGCGAACTTGAACTATCCGCTCTCTGACGTGGATAATTTACGGTCAACCACAACTTTTTCCCCTATACGCACGATACCCCACGGTAGCAGACCTTGGGCTTGAAAGATGGAGCAGAGAGGTACCTCCCGCCGCGTGGCGTTGCTGTTGTTGTTGCTTCCTTCTTCGAAAAGTTATCGGTGGATAACCAAACCCGCGGCCGTCCAAAACACCCAACTTGAAGTGACCGCTCGCAACCGTTGCCATTTTTGGTTCAACACAACCTTTTTGTTTTCCGGCGCATTCGGCACCTCACGGCGCCAAACCTTGGCATTGCCCAACAGCCCATGTTACCAGCGCCTTCCGGATACCGTTCTTGAGGCAACTCGTCAAGCTTGTGGCGAGATATCGGCTAACACGTGAACAGAAGAGCGCAAAACCCACAATAGAAAAATCACCGCTCGCTTCGCTGCTGGCTCTTCCCCTGGCGCCAGGTCTTTTTTGATGTTTTGCCTCATCTGTCTCCTATCCTCGTTAACATGGTCGACCCTCTTTTTTCAGTTTTCCACGATAACGCATTTTGATTTTGATTTTGTGCCCATTTGGATTTGGATTTTTGGCTATTCGTTAGTATTCGCCCTTTTACCGAAACGACCACAACAACGAATGCAGGAGCTCCAGATGGTGTTCGGGCACATGCAAGAGGGCATATCCAAGGTCTATGATCCCGCTGGCTTCCCCGCCCTGCTTCGCATGGACACCGGCTCTCAGCAAGATCCGCAGGTAGCAATGCAAGAACACCAATCGGCACTTCTTGTAGTCAACACATCGTGTACATACGCCATATCGGCACTTCGTCTGCTTCCTGCACGTGTAATGCCTTCTTCCCGTAGACAACAAATCTTGTATTTTCGCCGTGTCGGCACTTCGTCTGTTCTATGCACATGCATGCCTTCTGTGTTGTTGGTTTGTGCGAAAAAGAAGGGCCAATGATAGAAATGAAAGGGCGCCTCATTCCCCTTCTCGTCTGTCTGTTCACCCTCGTTTGTTTCCGACGGCCCCCCGCATTCAGGAGTTCAGCAACTTTTTCCGGATCCTCCTGGAGCGGTGCTTTCAGCGGAGCCCCACCCCCCTCCGCACGTTGGTGCAGGATACATTCTGCGGGGAGGTGGCGTACATCACTCGATGCCTCAAGTGCAAGGCCGGGCCTCGGCAGCAACGGACGTTCAACGATCTCGTCTTGCAGATCAATGTGAGGGGGGGGGGGGGGGGGGGGGGGGAAAGGTTTTCCCGGGGGGGGGGGGGGCCCCCTTTTTTTTACACAGGGGGGGGGGGGGGGAAAGGGGGAAAATTTTCCCCGTCGTCTTTTGAAACTTGGGGGGGGCAAACGTCCCCCCCCCCTCCCCCCCCCACTTTGGTGGGGGGGGGAAC